CTGCCCTTATCTGGTGCAGATACCTCCAATAACTCTGATATGGCAGAAAGAGTTCCAGGATCTGATATTAACCTCGACTGTTTTTCTCCAATCGACCTTTCATTACTAAATTCAGTTATTTCTGTGCCCAAACCGTCAACCTGTCTTTTAGACCCAATCCCAACCAAGCTGTTAAAGGAAGTATTTCCCTTAGTTAGCAGCTTTATATTAGATATTATCAATATGTCTTTACTGGCAGGCTATGTACCACAGTCATTTAAAGTAGCCGTAATCAAACCTCTACTTAAGATTCAGGAACTCTAGCTAACTATAGGCCTATATCCAACCTTCCTTTTCTCTCAAAAAGATCCTGGAGAAAGTGGTAGCTAATCAGTTATGTGAATTTCTCTGTGACAACAGTTTATTTGAGGAGTTTCAGTCAGGATTTAGAGTCCACCATAGCACTGAGACTGCACTAGTTAAAATTACAAATGATCTCCTTCTAGTTTCAGACAGGGGACTTCCGCTGGTTTTGACACTATTGACCATCAAATACTATTACACAGACTAGAACATTTACTTGGAATTACAGGGACTGTTTTTTTGGGGGGCTTTTTTTGTGCCTTTAATGGATCGATAGGACAGTGGATAGAGTTGGAAATCAGGGAGAGAGAGTGGGGAATGACATGCGGGAAGGAGGCCACAGGTGGGATGTGAACCTGGGCCGCCCGCTTGAGATGACAGCCTCCATACATGGGGAGCACACACTAACCACTGCGCCACCAGCGCCCCGGGACTGCTTTAAGTTGGTATAAATCCTATTCATCAGAGCAATCTCAGTTTGTGCATGTAAGTCCTCTATGCACACCAAAGTTAGCCATGGAGTGCCACAAGGTTCAGTGCTTGGACCGATTCTCTTTACATTATATATGCTTCCTCTGGGTAATATTATGAGGAAACATTACATAAATTTTCATTGTTATGCAGATGATACTCAGCTTTTTGCATCAATGAAGCCCGATGGCACCAGTCAGTTATGTAAACTAGAAACGTGCCTTAAGGACGTTAGGACCTGGGTGACCAGAATCTTTTTGCTATTTAACACAGACAAGACTGAAGTTATTGTGCTTGGCGCAACCCTGCCGGAGCACAACGCATCCATTTAGCATTGAAAAGAACAAGCGGGATGGAAAGTCAGACATCAATAAAACATCGGGTTCATTTTCAGAATAAAACACTACATTTTGACGGTTCAGAAATTCGTATATGTGTTTGTAAGGTTTTCATTGAGTTTTATACCACGTACATCATATTATCTCTATCTTAATGAATCTGTACAATTAGCGCAGGAATTCCTTTGCCTCCGCACTCCAGTCGGTGGGTGTTGACGGACAAGGGTGCACGGAGCCGTAACAGACCGGAGCGGATACGCAATGGACACATATCTGGTGGAAGTTTGGGTCGTCTACCAGATAGCTGATTACCTATGGGTTCCAAGATTGCTTTCATCTTAATCAAACTAGAGAGAAACATAAATTAGGGAACTCAGACTGTTTGACATGTTTTGTTTGTTAAAACATGTCTTCTCTCATCAGGATGCACAAACAGATTGGTCTCGCCCTTGAACCTGTTACTCTGCGAATGTACAGACAGGGACGTTTAGGAATCATCAACGCAACTTCAAGTGCTTCCACCACCTTCGTCAAAGCCGTCGATGACTCCAAAATACAGGTCTGACAGAAGGAAACTGAAAATTGTATTTTGAAAGTATTATGTGCTGGTTTTAAGAACCAACAGAGGCAGGTATAGGTTCAGATGAAGTATTTAAAACAATACAATTGTCATGGTCAAGTTGAAAAACAAAAGCGGTGGACCCAAGTGCAGAATTAAACCGAAACTATTTATTAAACAAAAGGCAAACAGAAAGTTACTCAAATCCAAAACTGGTAAGCACAGGTAACGAGAGACTGGGAAACAACTGGCATGCAAACGGAGTTCACGGAGACATGGCTGAATGAACTCACTCCGGACACGCTCGTAACTTTGGGCGGCTTTCACCTCGTCAGAGCGGACTGGAGCGTGAGGGAGAGCGGTAAGAAGAAAGGCGGGGGAATAGTGATGTATGTGAATGAGAGGTGGTGTAACTCTGGGCACATCACCGTTAAAGAACAGTGCTGCACTAAGGATGTGGAGCTGCTGGCTGTAAGCATTCGGCCATATTACCTGAGTTATCACACGTCATCGCGGTGACTGTTTACATCCCCCACTCGGCAGACGCTGCTGCAGCCTGTGAACTCATCCACAGTGTAGTGTCTCAGCTACAGACATCACACCCCCAGTCTCCTCTTCTCATCTCAGGAGACTTTAATCACACTTCCCTGTCTGCCACTCTCCCTACTTTCACTCAGTATGTTGACTGCCATACCAGGGACAATAAAAATTTGGACTTACTGTATGTAAACACCAAGGATGCATACAGATCATCACCCCTCTCCCCCCTGGGCCGCTCAGACCACAACCTGGTGAGACTGCAGCCCATTTACATACCTATGGTGAAAAAACAACCCCCCACAACCAGGTATGTGAAGAAGTGGTCTAAGGAGGCCACTGAGGCGCTGCTTTGACACCACTGACTGGGAGGTGCTGTGCAGCCCACATGGGGAGGACATCGACGGTTTAACTCACTGCATCACAGATTACACAAACTTCTGTGTTGAGAACACTGTACCCACCAAAATAATACAGTGTTTCTCCTACAACAAACCCTGGGTTACCTCTGAGCTGAAAACCCTGCTCAATGAAAAGAGAAGGGTTTTTAGATCTGGAGACAGAGAGGAGCTGAGGAGGGTGCAGAAGGAGCTCAAGAGAAAAACCAAGGAGGGGAAAGCCAGCTACCGGGAAAAGATGGAGGAGCATTTACAACATAAAAATGCAAGAGAAGTCTGGAGGGGCCTGAATAACATCAGGTCACAGCAGAAGGCGTGGAAGGGGCCCTGAAGCAGGAGACAGGGAGTGGGCAAATGAACTGAATCTGTTCTTCAACAGATTTGATTCTGCTCCCAACCCCACCCCCATCCACCAGAGCGCAGACCAGCCCGTTTCTCAGACACTCCATCTGAGTACCCCGAGTACCCTGCTACCCCCCTCAACAGCCCTTTCCTTCTCAGACGACCCCCCAACACCCCCTCCTCCTCCTACGACGGCCTCTCCATAACAGCTGATCAGGTGAGAAGCCAGCTGAGGAAGATCAAGGCGAGGAAGGCCACAGGTTCCGACGGCATCAGCTCCAGACTCCTGAAGGACTGTGCAGACCAGCTCTGTGAGGTTCTTCTGCACATCTTCAACCTGAGCCTGAGACTGGAGAGGGTACCGACCCTGTGGAAGACTTCCTGCGTGGTGCCAGTCCCAAAGACATCTCACCCCAGGGAGCCTAACCACGTCAGAGCTGTGGCCCTCACCTCTCACCTGATGAAGACCATGGAGAGGATCGTCCTCAACAACCTCCGCCCCCTGGTGACTTCAAATCTGGATCCTCTGCAGTTTGCCTACCAGCCGAACATCGGGGTGGATGACGCCGTCATCTACCTGCTGCAGAGATCCTGGACTCACCTGGAGAACACCGGCAGCACTGTGAGGGTCATGTTCTTTGACTTCTCCAGTGCCTTCAACACCATCCAGCCTGCACTGCTCAGGGGGAAGCTAGAGGGGGGCGGGAGTGGACTGTCACCTGGCTGCATGGACAACGGACTACCTCACCAACAGACCACAGTACGTGAGGCTTCAGGACTGAGTCTGACATGGTGGTCTGCAGTACAGGGGCCCCGCAGGGGACAGTTCTCTCCCCTTTTCTCTTCACCCTGTACACCTCGGACTTCTGCTACAACTCTGGGAGCTGCCACCTGCAGAAGTTCTCCGATGACACAGCCATCGTGGGGTGTGTGTCTAAGGGGAGCGAACAGGAGTACAGGCAGGTCATCATGGATTTTGTCGACTGGAGTGAGCTCAACCACCTTCAGCTCAATACCAGCAAGACAAAGGAGATGGTGATTGACTTCTGCAGGAAGTCACCCCAGACTGCACCGGTGAACATCCAGGGCTTGGACATCGAGAGGGTGGAGACGTACAAATACCTCGGTGTTCACCTCAACAACAAACTGGACTGGTCACAACACCGACGTCCTGTACAAGAAAGTCCAATGTCAACTTCACCTGCTGAGACGACTGAGGTCCTTTGGAGTGTGCAGGACTCTGCTACGGACTTTTTAATGACACTGTGGTGGCGTCTGCACTTTTCTATGCAGTGGTCTGCTGGGGAGGAGGGAGCAGAGAGAGACAGGAAGAGACTGAACAGATTGGTCAGGAGGGCCAGTTCTGTCTTGGACTGTCCTCTGGACTTTGTAGAGGAGGTGGGTGAGAGGAGGATGTTAGTGAAGCTGACATCCATCATGGACAACCCCTCTCACCCCCTGCATGACACTGTGGGGGCCCTGAGCAGCAGACTCAGACACCCACCCTGCAAGACAGAGCGCTACCGCAAGTCATTCATTCCATCTGCCGTCAGACTGTTTAACAACATCACCACCTCATGCTACACACTGTGTGTGTTTTGTTAATAACAAGTTACTGTGTAATTTTACATTTCTGTATTTTATTTAAATGATGTAAATATGTTTGATCTGTTTTTTAACTTTTATAAGCATATTCCTAGCCCCTGTTTTCTGGAGCTGCTGTAATGCACAAATTTCCCCCACGGGGGATCAGTAGAGTTTCTTTAAACGCGACAACTACTAACAATGATCTGACACAGAAGGGAAGAAACAGAGACTAATGACACAGGTGAAAACAGTGAGGGCAATCACACTGGAGGGAAACACAGAGGCAGGAAGGAACACAAGACAAGAACTACAATCTAAATACTGAACACACAGAGAACTCAAGAATTGAACCTAGTATGTAGAATTAAGCCTTCCCTAACCCACACTAGGATAAGAAACCACAAAATAAATCAGGAAACACCAAACCAGGATAGGACAGGACTTCATTGATCCCCAGAGGGGAAATTCAGGCATCATAGCAGCACAGACAAGTAAGGTCAAAATACACATTAAACAGAATAGATTAGATAAATAAGGAAAGGGGGTATATACACAAGTACAAAATGAATGATGATGTAAACTGCAGGGAATTGAGACAGTATGTGCAGAGAATTGCAAGATAAAGTGATTATTAAAGTGAAACATTGAAAGAAACACAATGGACACAAGCAACACTAGGGAAGAATACAATAAGAAAAACTACAACAAGAAGATTTAAATAAAACAAAACCTGACTAAATCATGACAGCACTTTGTGGGAATGGAGCAGAGTAAGGCAGGCGAGTTTGCAGGGGGCGTGCTGGTTAGTTCACGTCCAGAGATATGTGCTGATACAGGTGGAATCAAGTAGATGAAGTAGTGGAATGGAGTTGAGCAGAGAATAGCTGCAGGCAAAGGAGCAGAAGTGGGAGTAATTTGTATAAAGTTGGTAAACAAGATTCTGAATGGCTGGAACAAGACTTCAAGAGAAAACTGGGTTTACGATCTGGCAGAGCGGAGGAGTAGGAGCTCAATGTTTGGAAATGATTTGCAGCTGCAGTCCAACTCCTGCACACCTGATCCCACTACTGCAATCAAACACATTTATTCATTAGCACAGAGTCTATAAAGTTATTTCAAAGTGATTCATGTTTAAAGTTACATTGATATTATTAATGTTAGGGTGATTAACATAAAGTTAGAGATAAACATTGTTTCTCTTCTGTTGAACAGAACTTGGAGAAACTTGATCTGTTGGAGAAAGCTCTTGAAGTTCATAAAAGGAACATTCACCTGGTGAGTTCAATATTCATCTGTCAGCAGAATGTTTCAAGTTTTGTGGAGTTCTAAACATTTCATGAACATCACAAGAACTACAGTTCCTAGAAGTCTTCCTGTGATCAGAGTTTTTTCCCCCCAATCTTTCAGGGCCACCGTGGACAAGCAGCTGATGGACATCTCCTCGGTCTGCAGATGCAGGCTGAAAATGAAAAAATCTCAACTCCTCAAATCTTCACAGATGTCTCCTATGAAAAAGCTTTCAACTTCCAAATGATAGTTGGTCAGGTAAGGAAGAGTTTAAACCTCATTTACATGAGGTGTGTTCGATTCTCTGTGGCCTGATATAATTTATCCATGTACCTGAATAAAAATGGAGAGTTCATTCAGTTAATCTCCAAACTCAGTCATTGATAGTTATTCAAATTCCATTTTAGTTTACCAACTCTAGTTGTTACATTCCCCAAGATGGCTAGGGAATGAGGGGAGTAACACAAAATTAAAAACCCAGGGAAAAGAAATAGGAACTAAATATAAGTAAAGTTAAAATGGACTTATTAACAAACTAAAGCAAAATGTGCAACACAAAACAAACAAAACAAAAAAAACACCTAACAAAAGAGAAACCAATCTATCTTAAATACAATTCAAAACTAACAATCAAGAGATAAACAACAAGGCCTTAATCAGAACACAATCCTTCCACAGACGCATCAGACTAAATTTCTTGACGTCAAAGACACAGCAATCCAACGACCCACTGGTAACTGGCAGGCTCCTCTCTCCTGCTCTATATAGTTTTCTCCTGATTAGTAATTAGCCACAGGTATGGCTGGGCACTCTGAGGCTTAGGAGCAACACCTGGGGAGCACACACACAGGAGAGAGAAAACACACACAAAACTATGGCATGTAACACTAGTGGCATGAATGTAATGGACAATATTGTATGGATAACACATATTACAGAACACAAAAGTTAAAAAACATAAGTAATTGTTTCAAATCACAAAAGACCCACACGCAGAATCACAGGGCAGAGGCTGGAGTAAGGCAAAAACTAACCCTAACCCTATCTCGAGTATGTATCAGAGATCTCCATGTTACAAACATAACTTGCTTTTTTCTTAATCTAAAGGTTACGGCATTCAGGAATGGCATTGTTCCATGTTCTAGTCCTGAAGACCTGGGACTGTATGACATAAACTACGCTATTAAAAACGATCACATGGAGTTTTTAGTGTCCTGCTTTGAATATGCTGAGACGGGCAGAGAAAAGAATTCAGCAGAGATGATTAAAGCTGTGGAAGATGCCATGTTGGACATGAGGACCCTGTTGGAAGAAAGAGCAAAACTATAAATATAATTCAGCCATATTTGTTTTTGAAAAAACAAAATACCATTTGTTGGGCTGAAACAGTGAAATAAAATCCAATAATCATACATTATAATTATTATATAAATGTGTTATTTTACAATATACTGTTTTTATCAATAACTGTGTTTGAAGCCAGCTTCTAACTTCAGCTGTTTATTTTAAATTGAAGTGTTTAAAAACATTGTTTTGTGTTCATGTTTATTGAAGTGTGTTAAATACATAATTTTTGTTCAAGTTAAAGCTCTGCTGTGACTGTCTGAACTGAACTAATGACTCAATGCTACATGTAAGAAACACAAGTGATGGAAAGGGTTGTATGATTCATGTAGGGAAAAGGGAAAGAGGGTTTTAACCAAGATGCAAGGGGGTTGCATGTTTGAAATTTGAATATGTGTTGATGGTGTCATGGAATTTTCTGTTTGATGAATAAAAGATTTCAAGTCAAGCCATTTGTCTTTGTGTATTTTATTGCAGATAATAGATGATCTTTTGCAAAAGGAGGAATCAGATACAGAAGTGACAGAGGTCACGAGTGCATAGCAGAATGACGGGGCAGTCCCGTTTCTGGAGAGTATTTATACATGACTAGAAAGAGTTAATTGGCTCATGCCGCTGTGAATATGTGTCGTCAGCAGGTACTCTGCACAGAGACAGGGGGTCATTGATAAACTTTGGCCATGTTTGGTAATGATGCTGAGCACACAGAAGAGGATACGAACAATAGAAGTTCTTGTGTTAGTGTTATCTATGAGTTAGCACTTAGTGTTCTTTCACTGTAGCGCACCTAGTGTACATGATGCTCTTGTCCATCTGATGCACGAACATCTGTTGCAAAGCAAGTCAGTGTGACTGAGGTTATGTACGGTCACAAATGAACAGCAGAAGTAAGCACAGTATTTTTCCACTACAATGGGAAGGTGGTACGGACTTGAAACCAAGATGCAACCCCCCATTTATGGGCATGGCCTTTCCAACGGCACAACCCACAAGTGTCCACAATGTCAGGAAGTGGTGTAAAAGTGATCGGTGGATTTGTATGTGGTATCTGGGTTAGTGTAGAGGAACTGAGCCCGTCTCAAGGAAGGGACAGGAGGTGCACGGCCCAACCCCCGGTTGAACTTGTTGGTGTTTTCTGCCGTGACGGACCTCCGTCTAACCCTCATCAAAGTACACCATGTTTGTGGCTTTTTTTTTTTTTTTTTGATTTGTGTGACGTCGTATTTATTGATAATGTTTTGTTGTGTTATTTATTAAGTGGATATAAAATACAAATAAAATATTTATTAATGTGTTTTTAAATCAACTTTTTTAGATAAAAAGGACTTACAATGAAATGAAATAAAAGTGTTGTTTTTAAAGAAAAAGAAAATTGTTTTTTGTTTTTTTTAAATGTGTGTGCCACAGGCAACGTTTTCACCACTTTTTTGACGTCTTCTTCAGGCCAAGGCACACTAGCTGGCTGTGTATGCTGGCTGGAGAGATGTTGTCTCTTCTAGTGATGTGTGAAGGAACTGAACTGAATCACTTACTGAAAAGAGTTGTTCATTTCTCAACTTCAGTTGCGCTCTCCTCTCTCCCGTCTTGTGTCTCTCTCTCTAGACCGTAAGAGTCGCTCAAAGCTCGCCCTCCCTCTTCCCTTTCATGTCAGTGATACGTACTGACTGAACCAACAGGATGGAGTCGGTCGGGAGCCCTGTGTCGCTCAAGCCCGCCCACCCATCACCCTCTCATGTCTCCAAAATTGAGGAAGTAGAAAATATGTCGCGAAAATGTATGTGCATGTATACTGCAGGAGTCCTGATTATCTCTCTCTCTCTCTCTCTCAGTCAGTCAGTCGTTCACTGAGCATACTGAACGAACGGGAGCTCCGAGTCTCTCTCTCTCTCTCTCTCTCTCTCTCTTAGTCAGTCAGTCAGTCATTCACTGAACATACTGAAATATACAATACACATTATAATCATTTACATATGAAATTAAATAATGAAGAAAAATACAATTACCTAAAAGAGTAATGGAAATTATTTACAGATGAGTAAACATGTCTTATATTGTGACCTGAAGAACCTTGAATATAAATAACTTACATAGAACCCTCTCTCACTCGATGACATACAAACACACATTCTGCTGATATCTCTACAGTCGAGCTCTCTTCTCCCAGAGTGATTCTCCTCTGTTCCTCTTTAGGGAGGGAAAGAAAGCCGAGGATTCGATCATTAAATCTGGGAAAGAAGGTGTCTCTAATGTCTTTATATTTGGGGCAGCTAGTGAGGAAATGAAGTTCAGTTTCCACCTGTCCTTTTCCACAGTGCACACACACTCTCTGAGATCTCTCTAACCATCTCTTCTACAGCCAGTGTGTGATCACTGAGCCTGTATTTAGTCACTGTTTGTCTTTTAAGAGGTTCTTTTATTTCTCTTAAATATTGGGCTAATTTGAATTCCCTGTCCAGTAAACTATAGCATTCTAATCTATGTATTGTTTGGATTTCTAATTTCCACTGATTCATATATTTCTGTTTATTATCTTTGTCTGTTTGGAATAGAATAGAATAGAATAGAATAGAATTACTTTATTGATCCCAAACTGGGAAATTGTGGCGTTACAGCAGCAGGTTATCCAACACACAATATTAATAAAAAACACAATGTTAGCAATCTAAACACAATATAATATTAACTACAAAGTAAATAAGTACTAAAAGATATAAAAAATAAGAATGTGAATATATACAACCAGGATTTTACTAAGCATTACTAGGCTTAAATAGGAAGATTAAATATGAAAGATTGAATGTAAATGTGCAAAAACAGAGTCGTAGATGGTTGTAAATTAAATATGAAAGATTAAATGTAAATATGCAAAAACAGAGTCATAAATGGTTGTAAATTAAATATGAAAGATTAAATGTAAATATGCAAAAACAGAGTCATAAATGGTTGTAAATTAAATATGAAAGATTAAATGTAAATGTGCAAGTGAATTTGTGAGTTGCTTTGATATGTGGAGCTATGTGTGGTGTTTCTATCAGTGATCAGAGAGTGTGTGTGTTCTAAATAAGCTCTGTGTTGCTGTGACTCTGACTCGGACTCGATCAGGTGGTTCATGAACTTCAGCCTTCTTTTTTTAATGTGGATCAGTAGAGGGAACTGGCCCAGCTCGGCTCTGCAGCCGTGGTTTGGACAGTTTCTGTGGACTCGTAATATGTTTTTACAAAACTCCAGAGGACTCTTTCCACTCAGTTTGAGTCCCAGAGCTGCTCTTTGATTAATGGGCCCCAGACTTCACTTCCGTATAACAGAATTGGTTAAATCACACTTTTGAAAATTTTGATCCAAATTCTTATTGGGGGGGTTGAGTTTGAACAAGTTTGTTCTTATGCTGTAATAAGCCCTACGAGCTTTATCAGCCAATGTACTCACAGCCTTACCAAAATGTCCTTATGCAGTTACCACTAGGCCCAGGTACGTGTACTCCATTGTGTGGTTTAATAATGTATCTCCCAATTTAAACAGATATTTTTGGCTTTGTGATCTTGCTTTCTTTTGAAATATCATGACTTTATTTTTTTCTAGATTCACACTGATGTTCCAGTTTTCACAGTACTGATGGAGGATGTTTAGAAGCTCTTGTAGACCTTGCTCTGTTTGTGATAACAGTAACAAATCATCTGCATAGAAAAGACACTTCACGTCTTGTCCCTGTAAGTCCAGTCCTGAGGCTGGACAGTCGTCCAGTAGCTTGGCCAAATGGTCGATATAAATGTTGAAAAGTGTCGGTGACAGATTACAGCCCTGATGGACCCCACGACATTGTTTAAAAAATTCAGTTCTTTTTTTGTCCAATTTTTACAGCACATTGATTTTCAGAGTATTTACATTTAATCAGATCATAAACTTTTCCTCCTACACCGTTTTGAAGCAGCTGACAGAAAAGGCTGTTGTGCCAAATGAAATCAAAAGCTTTCCTGAAATCTACAAAGCAAGCGAAATTTTCCCTTTCTTCTTCTGCTGTACATGTTTGTGGATGAGAGTCTGGAGAGTGAAGATGTGGTCTGTTGTTCTGTGTTTGGGGAGAAAGCCAATTTGGGATTTACTTAGAATGTCACCTTCAGTCAGGTAGGACAGGATTCTTGAATTTAATATACTACAGAACAGTTTCCCCAGATTGGAACTGACACAGACTCCTCTATAATTATTTTGATTCAGTTTATCTCCATTTTTAAAAATAGGAGTAATCAGACCCTTGTTCCAAATATCAGGGTATACACCACTTTTTAAAACTAAATTAAATAATTGAAGCGCAGCTGCTTGAAGTTTCCTGCTGCCATGTTTTAACATCTCCGCTCTGACACCATCGATACCACACGCCTTTCCATTCTTCAGGTTAGACATTTTGTCCTGTAGCTCTTCCATTGTAATCGGACTGTCCAAATTATTTTGATTTATCTTTTATTACATTTTCTAATGATTTTAATTTGTCTATTGTGGTGATCTGATGTGTGTTTAAACCGAATTGTTCTTGATTTTGATATAAAGTGGAGAAGTAGCTTTTCCAAATGTCGCCGTTCTGAATGGCGATGTTATTTTTATGTTTGCTTGGATAAAAACATTTCCAAAGTTTCCAAAAACAGTTTTGGTCTATTGCCTTTTCGATTTTCATTAATTCATTGTCTGAGTTTTGAGTTTTCTTCTGATTGATTATCTTTTTGTATTGTTGAAGGGCGGTGTGGTATTCATGACACAGTTATTTGTTTTCAAGGACTATTTCTGCTTTTGTGTCCAGTTCTGGGATGTGCTCAGCAAGGTGATGGAGATAAGGCTGGTGTAAAACTGCGCTCGGGTTTGGAATCTCAGACCGATTATTTGGGATCTCCTACATTCAATGAGAGGAGGAAGAGAGATGACAACCTTTCCATCCAGCGACTCGATCTGGAATCCTTCTGCTTTCTTGCCAGATGTTTCCATAATGCCAGAACAAGTTTTAAGAGAGTATAGGAATGGTTTGCTCTCCACACCAAACAATTCAAAGAACTCTGGTCTTGCTAATGAGCGATTGCTCTGGTCATCTAGCATTACGTAAGCTTTGACAGCCATGTCCTTCGAACCCTTTGGGTATACATTTGCAAGGCAGATCTTTGCACATAATCGGCTCCACTGACCTGGACCACAAACTTCTGTGCAGCTGGTTCCTACAACATATCGGAATCCTCTTCTCCCTCCCCGCCGTTATCTTGTAATGGAGAAGGAGCCTTGAAAGTTTGAGCTGATGGGCCAGGCTGCATGGCTGCATCATGGTTGTTGCTGTCACATTCAGAGCACTTGACAGAGGACTTGCAATTCTTTGCAAGGTGGGAGACAGAGGAACAGCATTTAAAACATAATCCTTTCTCCTTGAGGAA